TATCTTGAGCATATCGGATGTTGTTATCTGCATTGATATGTTAGTGCATATATAATACACTTAGTTCACATATCTTGAGCATATCGGATGTTGTTATCTGCATTGATATGTTAGTGCATATATAATACACATAGTAAATAAATTGATCGGATGTTGTTATCTGCATTGATATGTTAGTGCATATATAATACACATAGTAAATAAATTGTTATCATTAAAATTATATCTTGGGGATAAAATATCCAACAACCATAGTTACCCCTGGCTGGGGTGAGCTGACATGATTGATTAACACTGATATGATACACGTGTTGGCTCCAGGAGGAAGATTAACACTTAGGTTAATTATAGTCATAACACCTCACTTCAACTGGAGTATTACTTCCAACTTCTTCATTATATTTAGCAAGCTAACTGAGGCTCAAGTCTAAACCAAACATCTTATTACTTTTTCCATAACATCTATCAAACTTTACTGAGACTGAAGTCTAAACCAAACATCTTTATACGGGAAGATGTTTAACCTACTCATAGCCAAAAAGTAACTTTCGTAACAAAAATGATATATAAAGGCGATCAAATTTGAAAGCAACACCAGAGCTTGACGCACCTATTTGCCTTTCTAAACATGTTTACAATCGTAATAACAATAAAGATTTTTTTTAAGAAAGGGAAAAAGAAAGCTTGACCACCTTTAATCGTAATAACAATTAGTTTGCCTTTCAAACTAATTGTTGTTCGGTCTGTAAGAAATTTGACTATAACGCTACAGTAAAACAAACAATTATTAAATAAAATATCATTATCTCTTATGAATTACAATAAGTCAAGAGTTTCCGATTTTCAACAAACCAAACCACCTTAATCGATGGAGCTGTATCTTATCCTTGTTCTGTTTCATTAACGCATACGATCTGTAATCTCCATACAATCTGCAAAATGTCACTTTCAGGGGTTAACAGTGTCTCTAAAACTTTGCTTATTCAACTATACCCCTAAACTTTGGGGGTCGCACGTGACCTCCCAAAGGCCCCCTCTCTATAAATTTCAAATAACTAAAAACTGTCTAAAAGAAAATAAAAACCCAATTTAATTACCCCAAAGTTTTGTGAAGTTTGCACTTAATTTTAAAAAGTATACATGCTAGTTATAAAACAAGGAAAAAATATGTCAAGGTCCCAAAAACAAAGACCTAATGTGGTCTAGTCCTACAAAGTTTTTCCCATGTGCTTTAACCCCAAAAGACCCAACAATTAAATTGTGATCAAACCCTTTTTCACACTCTCCCAAAAATTAACCCAAACAAATTCCAAAAATAACCCCTCCCATTTTCTTCTTCTTCTTCTTTGTTTCTTTCTCCTCGTTCCCTCTCCTAACTGCTCATTTTTCCTCTTCTTCTTTCCTCCTCTCCCCTAACCCTACATTCCTCCTCTCTCTCCTTCTTACTCCTCTTACTCTCGATCTCGTCATCTCCCTCTCCCGCCTCTCCCTTCGCCACCACCGAGCCCGTCATCTCAGGCAAGCGCTGAGAAGGCTTAGAGAATGAGGAGAGTCGGTCGGCAAGATGGATGGAGAGAAGCGTGGAGAAGAAGTAGGAGAGAATGAGGGAGAGGTCAAACTCGTCGAGATGAGATCCGTGATGATGGGAGGTAAAGCGAGATGTAAAGCGAGATTGGGAGGGGATATGGATGGGTTTGTTGATGAAGTGTGGTCTATAAGAGGCGTAGAAGATGGTAGGAGATGAAGGTTAGGGCTAGGGCTCGTTTCAAGTGGGTAATGAAGGAGGACAATGAAGAATATAGGACATATGTGTTGTTTGTCGAGATGGTTGTGAGGTGGATGAGTTGGCTTGCAGGTTAAAATGATTTTAGTTAGGCAAAAAATTTATGAATGCCTATAGGTCTATGATGAAATACCAAAGAGAGATGTGGATTCTTAGAATGTGATAGTAACAAGTCGTGTACAAAGAAAATGTTAAATAGATATTAAACTGTGAATGTAAGACTAATCAAACTGTAAAGTGCTTGCTATATCAGCTGTAAGAATGTAAGACTAATCAATACAAAAGCTCATGTTTACCGTATTAGCTATTCCTTTTTCCTGTTAACTATCTCGGTTTGCTGCTAACTTTTACCTGAAACTGTTAACTTTTGAGTTTTCCTGATAACTTTCATTGAAAGTTGTTAACTTTGGATGTTACATGGTAACTTTCACTGAAAGTTTTTAATTCTGGGTATTACCTGTTAAGTATAAATTGTATTAACAATAAACATATCAAGCTGATAGCAAAAAGAATAGAATTTGGGATTAGTATGAATTGTTATGCAGAACTATACTTTTGATAGAACAATATAGATTTTTAAGACTTTTGTAGGACTATGAAATAATTTTGTAGGCTTTAAGAATGTAAGACTAATCAAATTGTAAAATATTTGTTGTATCAGCTATAAGAATGGAACACTAATAAAATGGTACTTTGTATTTATTAGTCTTACATTATTATAGCTAATATAGCAAATATTCCACAATTTGATTAGTCTTATATTCTTAAAGCCTACAAAATTCTTCCATAATATCCTACAAAAATCTTTAAAATCTATATAATTCTATCAAAAATATAGTTCTTAAGAATGATGCATGTTGAATGTCTATTTTAAAGGTCTCTAAAAAAAGAAGGAAAAAAATATCAAGACCCCAAAAATAAAAACCTCGTGGCCGAGTCTCATGAAGCTTTTCCCATGTGTTGTAACTCCAAAAGACCCAACAAATAGAGATAGAACTATACTTTTGATAGAACAATATAGTTTTTTAAGACTTTTGTAGGATATTATGGAAGAATTTTGAAGGCTTTAAGAATGTAAGACTAATCAAATTGTGGAATATTTGCTATACTAGTTGTAAGAATGTAAGACTAATAATACAAAGTACCATCTAATTAGTCTTACATTCTTACAGCTGATACAGTAAATATTCTACAATTTGATTAGTCTTACATTCTTAAAACCTTCAAAATCCTTTCATAATGTCGTACAAAAATCTTAAAAATCTATATTGTTCTATCAAAAGTATTTCTGCATAGCAATCCATACTAATACAAGTTACATTCTTTTTGCTATCAGCTTGTTACGTTTATTGTTAATCAATTTATACTTAACATGTAACACTCAGAGTTAACAACTTCCAGTGAAAGTTAGCAGAAAAACTCAAAAGTTAACAGTTTCAGGTAAAAGTTAGCAGCAAACCGAGATAGCTTACAGGAAAAAGGAATAGCCAACATACGGTAAACAATTTCTTTTATATTGATTAGTCTTACATTCTTACAGCTGATATAGTTGTTTGGTGTGAAAGTTGACATCTTTATTGATGTTTTCATTACAACTTCAGTCGTTACAATAAAAACAAAAAGATAGTCTTTTTATAAGACTCTTACACAATAAAAACAAAAAATTACAACTCTCGTCAAAACAAACACAACGGACGTTTATCACCCGTCTCGGTCATTTTCGTTGTATTTTTCTCGTCCGATTTCGGAATTACGTGATTCAAAGTGCGTAGGAAAGGCGACTAGGAGCTCTACAATCCCACATGGGTGAATCATTCATGGGGTGAACGAGATACGAGGGACGTTTCGTCTTTTGTGAGCGAAACGTAACTCCCGATCGAATCGTTTCTTCGTTATTCTTCTGTTCCGTTGTTTCATACTGTTTGTCGACTCACTTCATGCGCTTGTCGACGTCAGATAATCCTCTTTGGCTCGGATAATAACGTACATCGTCTCCTCTTCATCTCGATCTGCGTGCGTGAACCTATAGGTATTTTTAAACGCCTACAATAGCAAGCATTTCACAATTTAATTAGTCTTACATTCACAATTTAATATCTCTATAACATTTTTTTTTGTACACGACTTGTTACTATCACATTCTAACAATCAACATCTCTCTTTGGTATTTCATAAAAGAGTTATAGGCATTCATAAATTTTTAGCCTAACTAAAATCATTTTAACATGCAAGCCAACTCATCCACCTCACAACCATCTCGACAAACAACACATATGTCTCAGATTCTGCATTGTCATCCTCCTCCTTCATTACCCACTAGATACGAGCCCTAGCCCAAACCTTCATCTCCTACCATCTTCTACGCCTCTTATAAACTACGCTTCATCAACAAACTCATCCATATCCCCTCCCAATCTCGCTTTACATATCGCTTTACCTCCCATCACCACGGATCTCATCTCGATGAGTTCGACCTTTCCCTCCTTCTCTCCTAGTTCTTCTCCACGCTTCTCTTCATCCATCTTGCCGATCGACTCTCATCATTATCTAAGTCTTCTCAGCGTTTACCTGAGATGATGGGCTCAGTGGTGGCGAAAAGGGAGACGGGAGAGGGAGATGATGATATCGCGGCAAGAGGAGTAATAAGGAGAGAGAGGAGTAAGGTAGGGTCAGGGGAGAGGAGGAGAGAAGAAGAGGAGAAATGAGCAGTTAAGGGAGAGGACGAGGAGAAAGACAGAGAAAAGAAGAAGAAAAGGAGCGGGGGTGTTTTTAAAATTTGCTTAGGTTAATTTTTAGAAAAGAGTGAAAAAGGACTTGATCACAATTTGTTGGGTTTTTTAAGGTTAAAGAACATGAGAAAAACTTTATGAGACTGGTCCACATGAACTCTTTGTTTTCGAAGCCTTGGACACATTTTTTCCTATAAACAAAACATGAATTTGATATGTAAACAGGTGGGCATCTTACCCAATCTTCCATTACTTATTAATACATCGGTTTTTTTATAGAGTGCTCATGGGTATTCTATAGAAAGGAGATAGATAAAGAGAAACGAATAAAGAGAAGGGCCCCCTAATTTACATCGAGATCCTCTCCTCATTCATTTCTCTCTCTCTCCTCTTATAGGGTGCTCATGGGCACTCTATAAAAAACCCGTTAATACATTGCTCAGCAAAACCTAAACGGAGGGATGTTTAGAGCTAAGACCTCAACGACCTATTGAAAACACCACCAAAATTTCATTGCCACTGTTTCCTAGAACAGAAACATTACCCTCAACATAAATAAAGCGATTTGCCTGGAAATCACAACACTGGAATTACTCAACCTAATCCAAAAATTCCCGTACCCATAATTACACAAAAATCCGCAAAATACCCTCAACCCTCGCCATTGCATATACACAAGGCGGTTCTCGTAATATGCGCTTAAAGATAAGCATCAAGAGGCCATCACCGTAATATTTTAGTCCCTATAGCCGCTGCAAATATAATACAACCGAGGACTTTTCTGCAAAAAGATTTCAGCTCCATACCCGGCAGGACGAACCCCCCGGCCACAAAAACTAAATTTACAGAACTAGAACAACACCCATGCAAGAAAACAACACTAAATTTTGAAAAAAATTAAGCTTTCGCCCTTTTTGCAAAATATCAAAAAGACCTGAACTTCGCTAAAAAAACTCAGGCTCCCGGACTCCAAAGGCTCCATAAACGCGAGTTAAACATCCCGATATCTCCACCGCCTCCTCATTAGTTTCTATCTCATCCTCTTTCTCCTCGCTTAAAGTCACCGCATCTTCATCAAAACCCTTATTCTCCTCCGCCACCTCAAAAACCTCCACCGCTTTCTCATTTTCCCACTCTCTCTCCTCCTTTCGTTTCCTCTCATCTTTACTCTTCTTCCTCTTCTTCTTCGTCTCCTTGCTCGCGAGATGCTCTTCGAAACCCTCGATCGCCATGTGAATCACCTCTCGATCCTTCGAGCAGTCCCAACGCCACCAAAAGAAAGTATAGCAATCGAAGCAGCCGCAGTCGAAGCGCGGGCGGGTGAAGTCCGGCGGTCCTCAGCCGCCACTCCTCCGCCCCCGGCCCACAGACCGTTGATTGATCGTATCATCAGGTACGCAACCACCTCCTTGTCTTCAACGAAAGCGCCGCCGTCAAGGTGAAGATTGCTGCGGTAGGAGTTTTGAGAACGGAGAGGGCGTCCGCCGCTGGCGGCGGCGGAGGTGGCGGCGGAGGGGAGAGCTGGGGATGGGTGGATTTTGCCCTTCGATTTTGGGTAGAGATTCTTCATTTTTTTTTTTGAAAAAAAATTAAGGGTTTTTTGAGGAAAAAGGAGAGACTTTTAGGGTTTTATCCCTTTTCAGCTTGCGATGCCCGGAAATGAAGTCTTCGGTGATAGGGAAGAGGTACTGTTTAGTGTCTCGGTACCCGCGTTTGGCGCCCGGCTATAGGCAGTCAGAGATGGGTCCGTACGGTGATTTAGGGTGGGTTACCGGGATCTGGAGGTTATGGGGGTGGTGCCCTCTTGTCCCGATGGCTAATTTTAAATTTTGAAGGTGGGGTGACGAATCTACCCCTATTAATAAGTGAGGGTAGATAACGTGGCGCCGAAGGGCATTTAACAGTATTTCCCTCTGTTATTTTAAGAATTGTCACGGGCATCTTAAAACATGCCCCTTTCTTTTCCGGAGGTGAAAATGAAAAAGTCGCGCTCCTCCTTCCTAGTATAATAAAGGGCCTTGAAAGTTGAGGAGTTTCGTATACGAAACTCTTTAGACGTTTAACAAAAGTCATAGCCTTAACTTTTGATCATGTCTCGGGGTGCAAATATATTTGTTCGCAGGGCAATAGGAACATTAAAAATTTTACATAATAAAATATTTTCAAGAGGTGTGCAAGCAAAATTAGAACCAGAGTGGAATAATGCAATCCGATAGTTTGCAAGGTTAATCATACAAAATTACCCTCTTACCGCCTTTAAGGGGTACTTTTGGGTTTTAGCATGATACAATCAGTTGGTTCGAACTTCGGAGAGAGGACCAACGGCAGAACGCTGAGGTCTTTGATAATCGTGCTGCATTAAAGAAAAAAATAAAAAAAAATAGATCAAATCGCGACCGTAGGATTCATGATGTACAGAGTACAGCTAATATACGATAAAGATGGACGGCTGTAGAGACGTCTGACGCTGCTGCTGACACGTACCTTTCTCTCAGTCATAGGCCGATACACAGTGACAGTCATGCTTGCTTTTGTTGTCGCTTAATTTCGGAAAAAATAAATGAAAGAAAAAGAAAAACAAATTCTCTATCGATCTCTCCTTATCTGGGTTGAAACATCTCGGCCGTTGATTTAATGGGTTGGCTTCTGCTGGGCTTTAAAGTACTATAGAAAATTAGGCTAATTTGTACTCAAATACCTTATAGTCTCCTAGTTTGTACTTAAACAGTATGTTGTTTGTTTGGTTTCTTTAAAAGAAAGAGTCGAATCCTCTTTATTATCAAAAAAATATTAGAGAAATCACTACATAATCATAATTATTAATTATTTAGTTAGTGATTATGATTATTTCTCTAATCATAAATTAAGAATGAATGTAATATGTGAGGGTATTATGAGTATTAGATTTAGATTGTATCATAACCGTCTACTAAATAATTAACGGTTGAGAATAGAAGTAAAGGGTTGTAAAAAAAATTATTTACTACTTTTCATGTGTTTCTAGGAAACAATTTTTCCTTTTTTTCAGCATAAAAATATGGGGAGGAAATATTTCCTATCACATTCTTTTGTTTGATTCAAAAGCTAAAAATAAGAAACCAATTGAAATAGAAACCTCTCCCTTATTATTTGAATATCAAATTTTATCAACTTCCAACATCATTCATTATTTAAATACTAAAAATTCACCTTTCTAACATTTTTCATCCAATTTCCTCACTTTTGGAGAGAAAATGGTTTTCTAGCAAAAGTGGTGTTTTCCCCAACTTTTTAGAGAATTTTCTTATGAACCAAACACAGAAATCAGAACCCATGAAAAGTTTTTGTGCTTTTTCTGACGTTATCAGAGGGTTTTCATAAGTTTCTAAGGATTTTCAACCCAAATAAACATGTCTTCACTTGTGTATACCCTCACTTAGGGCTGTCCAAAAAGCTTGTCGGTCGGGCCGAAACCCGGCCCTGGCCTGGCTCGGGCTTAGCCCAGAAACCCGGGCTAGACCCAGGACCGGGTCCGGTCGTCGGCGCTTGGCCCGGGCTTGGGCCCGGAACGGAATAGAATTTTTTTTTGTGTGTGTGTGTATATATATATCTATCTATATATATATATATATATATATATATATATATATATATATTAAAAAGTCTACAGATATACCGTTTTAAAAACCATGGGATAAAAAACTTAAATTCTTGTTTTAATTTAAGTTCCGCATAATATTTATCTACCCAGTTTAACTGGTCTTTTTTCGAAAAAAATTTAAAAAAAACCATCTTCGAAAATCTTGATGTTTTTCTAGGTAAAATTCTTTATTTAGAATTTTCCTTTCTAAACTTCCTTTTTCAAAATTCATTATTTCATTCGAAAACTCATCTCCGTATTAGGAGGAGAAACTTTATCCTTATATAAAGGATGAGGAATATTATTATCGGATATATTAATCCCTTGAACGGAACTGGTTCTATAAGATTCAGATCGAGATAATGAATTTCTGGCAGATACTGCCATGTCAGATATTCTGACAGTTCTAGATGGATTAAATATTATTTCTACTTCTCCATTTGTAGTTTTCACAATTTGATCAATATCTTGATTAATAATAGGCATTGGGTATAACCCAGTTTTCTGGAAAATTTACTTCATCCCATTTTATCTGTCTATTAACAGCAACATTAGAAGATAAAGCATTAGATTCAACCAGAACAGTTTTACCTGGTTTAGAATGATTTTTAGCCTTAGGAGCTAAAGTGTTAAGAACTTTATAATGGATCCTATATATGATAGCAATCGTTTCAGATCCAGGAATAAAGTTATAACCATGAGTCTTTATATTAAGACTAATAGATTCGAGTATATTCGGATCAGTTAAAGATAAACTTAAATTAGGATAAACATTAAAATACACTGGTCCATTACAGAGACTGGTTTCCATAATACCCATTAAAGATTGGGTCCAGTTCAAACATCTTGAGTCTCTAAGGCAGACTAATAAAGATGCGTTTAACCCTGATAGAGTCAATGGTCGAAAAGCGATCTGTATAAGACCTACATGTATGTATTTATACTTATCCATATATGGATTTACATCTGCTTCTCCTAGCAATTGAATGGTCTGTTCTTCCCTATCGACTGTACTAGTCCTTTCTAGGGTTTTAATATTGATTAAAGATTTATAATCTAAAAAACCAATTTTATATATGTCTCTATTAGGGACATCAGGTATTGTCCACTTATTAAGTGATTCTATGTCAGTTTTGTATTAAGTCAACTGAGCATTTTTTACTTTTTTTTCATTCCAGTATAACTGGATTTATGAGCCGAACTACTTTCTATGATATTTGACATAATTTTTTCTTACAGATTTATCTCTTAACTCTTTAACCAGTAAGGATGAAGAACTTCTATTTTTCTTTTTATTCTCTTTGAAACAACCTAGCAGAAGGCTTACACATCTGTTAACGACTTATACTACCCTAAAAGCCATCCCGGCAACAACAGGCTTTACGCTGTGCGACTTAGATGACGTCCCATAAGCATGCAAACTAGGTTCTTAAACAGAGAATGAAAAGAACATATAAAATTCTACATTCTTACAAGTAAAGAATCAAAAGATAATCTGTAAGATCAAATTTAAACAGACATAAAGTAGTTAAACATGGCTCTGATACCAGAAATTAGCAGAACCAGAAAGTAAACAGAAAGAGGAGAACTTATAGAGTTCACCTACCAATTCGCAAAACAAAGTCTTTATTATGATCTTCAATATTTTACAAATACACTCTATTTTACAGAGGAACTTAAACTTGCACGCTCACACTATTCTTAGAATATCTTATTTTCTCTCACAAAGCTTACAGACTCTTTTCAAACTTAACTCCTATATTTATAAGCTTTCTTGTCTTCCTTCCTTCTAAAGCCTTCGAGTTCCTTCGACAATGACCTTTTGTATACACGGGAAACTAGGATGCATTATCATAATAGTAGGAAACATTAGGGCCCACCATATTAAATCACCTTCAAAAAGTATGACTTTTTGAAAATCGCATAGTAATGGCATCTGCTTTAAAGGCTGTATTCTAGACGGCTCCCCGAGGCTCAATCTAGAATTTTTATCTTGCTTAGGAAGCTAGGCTTTTTCCTTTAAGGTTTGATACATTTTGGTCAAAGATTTCGGCCTAAATCTCATCAGGATCTTGTGCGTCGGGTAATGGAGTATCTTCTTCCATGGATGAAGTATTACTATGAGTCTCACTTGTGTCAAAAGCTTCAAAGAATTGTCTTTTGAAATGTTCTAAACACTTTTGCTTAATTTCTGATTCAGAGCTTTGAGGATATTTTCGTCTCATCATTTTAGCAATTTTCATCATTGGATTATCCTTTTTAATTTCTTGAGTCATATGAGGCTTTAGAACAGAAGTATTTCTCTTTATAATTTCTTCAAGTTGTTTCACCTTAGTACCAAGGCACATTCCGTTCCACCATCTGCTGTAATATTTTTTTCTTAGAACGGGCATATGAGAAGGGGTCCAATCACAAATAATAGACCAATTCCAGATCCATAGGATCTCAACTTCAGCAAAGAAGTGTATTAAACACATGCTATCTATAAGCTGGCTTTCGTCCATTCGTGCAAGAATAGGATGGGAATCTACCCAAGAAGAGTATAACTTCATTAAGGGTTCTGGAATAATACCAATTTCAATATCATATGTTTCCCACTATTTTTATAAGCTAAGTGTGCTTCTGTTTGGGATTCTGATATTAGAATATCTCATTAAAGGCCTGTTTATAGTCACAATAATTAAAGTTATAAACTTCTTTTGTATTTTGAACTCTGACAAGTGGCAGCTCCTGATTAGGATTTAGTGCCCAATTTCTAGGAAGTATAACTTCCTAAATAATGCATTTACTGAAGCTTGGAGTGACATTATGATTATCTTTGTCCAAAAATGCGTAATTTCCATGCCCTTTTGCATCAATAGAGTCTTCATCCAGGCTCTTGGTTTTAAAGATAAAGTTGGCCAATAGAGTCTTCATCCAGGCTCTTGGTTTTAAAGATAAAGTTGGATAATATGTATCCTGCAGATATCTCTGCCTTAATTTTTCTGGACTCTTGGTTTTAAAGATAAAGTTGGATAATATGTATCCTGCAGATATCTCTGCCTTAATTTTTCTGGATCGTTCATCAAGGGAACATCCTCTTGTTCTAGATACAGAACAATATCAGACTGAGGTTTTTTAACTCATTT